CATTTGATTTGTCAAGTTGAATCGACTTAAATAAAGTCGAATGTTCTTAATTTAAGTCATTTTAACTGAGCTCAACATTGTTTTTTTTCCAGTGTAACAGCATTAAAACATGGATAAAAGCTCCACAAGAGTCCATTTTGTGAAAAATAGGATCTTCAAGTACTAGTACACGAGTATTTTCTGGTTCCCATGTCTTAAAAAGTCAGAGGAATTGCAACACAACTGACCCATGCAAACATTTCCTCTCCCCTCTCAGCTTGACGCCTTCAGCTCGCAGCGTTTAGCGTCGGAAACACAAACAAGATCTGCATTTTCCCTCTCAAAATTCACACTTGGTTGCGATCTCTGTCTCGGCGCGGCTCTCCACAGCTCTGACCCTTTAATTGGTACACGCGTTCACTCCTCCGCGTCGCGTGGCGGTCGGTCCGGGGCGGGGCGGGGGGCCTCGTCGAAGCTGACAGCCCGATTTATGAGCTGGTTTCTGGGTTCGCCTCGTCAGCATGCCCCCTTCACCTCTCCGCTGGACCGCTGTGTTCTGTCTCTCCCCTCCTCCGTGTTATTAGCCCTTCCCTCCGTCCGCGGACTGTCTCAATCTGGGCCCTTTTTCCTTCTAAAATTGAACGTCAAGTGTGTAATTTGCTCCCATTTTTTAGGTTTCAATCTTGTGTCAGTTGTCAGAAGCCGGTGCAGCGCTGTCAGTCGGGTGGCCATTTCCCCCCGCTCTGTTTGATTCGATTTCTAGCTTGAGTTTAAAGGTGCATTGCGTAACTTTTCTGGCGGAGGGTCGGGGGCAAACGCTTTTCTCCGTGGAGATGTTGTTGCTTTGTGTGGAACTTTTCACCTTTCTATCTTCATGAAGATCAAACCAGACCAAGTTGCACGTCAGATCTGTTTGTATCTGCGTCTGTTTAATGCCATACTGTGAAATATTTCAGGCAAAGCAATAATATTTCCATGTAAACTAGCAGGTGGGGGTCACCGGAAAAGTTATACAAAGCACCTTTAGAAGATCTCAGACGAGTTGTTGCAATACAAGAACAAACCTTACCAGAGAAAGTGTGATAAAATAAGTTATGACACTAAGGGTCTGTTTACATGAGAATGCTTGCGGGTAAAAATGACAAAATAATTTACCAGAAGTGCGTTTTGTTTAGACCGTAATGGAGTTTTGAGGGCTTAAAAACGCAAAAATCTGAAAACACCCTCCAGAAAAGTTGGAAAAGTTGAATACACTCCGCCGTAGTGTTTCCATCTACACTGCTGAAGACGCAAAACTCTGGTACGTACGTACAGTACACAGAAACAAACATGTGGGATCATTTCCAGCTCTAATAAACTTACAGGAGCCATCCCAACAAATGTACAGAATCTGCAGAGATACTATTAGTGAACAGAGAAAAATCTGCAATTACCAAATTCTGGATGCACCAGTTTGTCGCAGGTGAGTCAGACGATTATGGACGAGACCTGGAGAACCAGTCGATGGTGGGACAACTTTGTGGAAGGAGTAGTTGATGAAAATGCGTGACGTGAAAACTTCTGTATGTCCAAAAATGCTCTTGGTGCTTTAAATGGCCCATCTCATGCAAAATCAACTTTTCAGAGCTTTCTACCTTCTAAAAGTGATGTGTGGGCCTTGTATATGTCGTGGTTTTTAGATTGATTCTGCATTTTTTTAACAAAGTGCAGCGTATTTCTGCCACCCTCCCACATGACAACGAACTAAAGTTGCTACAACGTTGACATGGCAGCTACACCTATGATGCGTTTGACGTAGCAGAAAGCGTTTCACACCCACCATCCTCCCATGCTCCACCGTCTCCACCTCACCTCCTCCAGTGTACATGATATAATAAGTTGATCTACTAGTGTTTATTAATACTTTATCAATCAGTAATGTTCAGCTGATGTCGATGCGGTGCTTGCACCTCAAAGTCCTCGTCTGATTCCGGGTCCAGCACATGCGGCTGAACGCGCTGTATCTCCATGATGAATAAAAGTTTATTCCTACCACTATCAGGGTGCACGTCTGTCTCCCCCTCCCTCCCTGAGATGGCGGAGGAAGGGCGGCTCACTCGTCGCCTACGTCACGTGTGGAGGGCGGAGCCTGTGCTTTCTCAGAACGGGTGGGGGGATGAGCAATAGTCGGCTTTTCATAGTTCCTGGTCTGTGACTGTCTCCAAGAAATCAGTAAGATTTCACAACTATATTTAAACCCAAATTGTGCTTGTTTATGTGCAGAAGATACAAAGTGAAAAGAGTTATTTTGCATGAGATGGACCCTTTAAGTACAAACATACCCAATCCAATTCCACATACTTTTGCGTCATCGTATGCACGGAGATTTCCTCCCGAAAACGCTCGTCTAAACGCGGAATAAAAAGTGAAGATGCGACCCACTTTTGTATCTTCTGTTCAGGTCATCATAAACATAGTCTGAATGAACATTAGTGAGATATGGGGGATACGTGTTAATGACCTGTACGTGTTAAATACAGGTGAGTGCAGAAATGACAAGAAGAAACATCTCAAACTTCAAACAGTGACTTCAAAGTTTTTGTTTTGTCCACACAAAAGTATAATAGGTCGGACTCCCAAAATTTGACAACTTCTTGCTATGATGAAGAAATATTTGTGTGCGAAAAATTGCTTAAAATGGACATTTGACCCTTATTTGTCAGTTCCTGTTCTCTGTCTTAGTATCATGAGCCAAAAATAAGGAGTCGTGCAAAGACAAAAGGCAGAAACTGACATGATCATTATTATTTGTTTGATTTTGCCCAGGCTTCCATCCATTATAAGAAAAACACCTCACCAAGGTCGAGTCATCATGTGTTTGTTTGAAATCATCTAGAAGAGCTTTGGGTTTCCTGTTTAGTGTTGATCAGGATCGTGCGGCGACATTTACACAGTGAAACAGTTTGACACAAGTGACTTTGCAGTATAGTGTGTACAGTATGAATAAATACACCAAATACTTTCACATTCAAGATAATTGAACACAAAGGTTGTGTTCAGACCCTGTGCCAAGACCGCAACAAAAAGAAGGAGGTGAGAAGTTGGAACTAAATCACAAACAAAACATACACAGTTTCTGCCTTTTGCTCTTGCATGACTCCTTATTTTGTCTCATGATACAAAGGCAGAGTACAGGAACTGACAAGTAATTGTCAAAGGTCAATTTTGAGCTCAGTATTTTTCACAATATTTATTCACATGATAAAGGACGTCTCAAATACAAACAAAATGACATGAACTCAATTTTGACCAAACATGATGTTACAGCGTTCTGCCTTTTTAGGGCAGTACTTTTACCTGATTTATGCAACTAGTTCCACCCCCCGGGAGAGCCTGAAATCTGCTGAAATCCTGTCAAAATCCTGTTGAAATTCTGTCGAAATTTAGCTGAAATCCTGCTGTGGCTCTTTCTGCAGGAGACATGCGCAGTAGAGCGAGAAGTGACGGTGTCTGATAATCCCTCTGTACAGGCAGTAGTAGTAGTAATAGTAGTTATGTTTAGACACGTTTAATGCCATACTGTGGAACATTCCAGTCAAAATCAATAACATCTACGTGGAAACAAGCAGAAAAGTTACATAAGGCACATTTAAACAACCTCAGAGCAGTTGTCCGATACATGATCAAAGTGTCCAGACGGAGTAAGAGCTCGTCTTTGTGCAGCACACTCTCCAGAAAGACGTGTGCGTCAAAGAGAAAAACAACTTCAACTATTTAAGAGTGATTCACCATCAACAGCTCTAACCTGTGTGTGTGTGTGTGTGTGTGTGTGTGTGTGTGTCTGGACCTGTTCACGTCATGTACCAGTACAGTCAAATACAACCTCCTTTCATCCTCTTCTCCTCCTCTCCTCTTCTCTTTTTCTTGCCCTCTCCACCTCTCTTCTTCTCCTCCTCAACTCTTCTCTTTTTCTCACCCTCTCCTCCTCTCTTTTCTTCTCTCCTCCTCTCTTCTTCTCCTCTATTCTTCTCCTCTTCTCCTCCTCTCTTCTTCTCTTGTCCTCCTCTGTTCTCTTCTCATCCTCTCTTTTCCTCCTCTCTTCTATTCCTCTTCTTCTCCGCTCACTTTTTCTTGCCCTCTCCGCTTCTCTTCTCCTCCTCTCTTCTTCCTCCTCTCCTCCTCCCTTCCTCTCCCCTTCTCTTTTTCTCATCTTCTCCTCCTCTTTTCCTCCTCCTCTCTTCATCTTCTCACTTCTTCTCCTCACTTTTTCTTGCCCTCTTCTCCTCTCATTTCCTCCTCTCTTCTCCTCCTCACTTTTTCTTGCCCTCTCTTCTCATCATCTCTTCTTCTCCTCCTCCTCTTCTCTTTTTCTCACCTTCTCCTCCTGTCTTGACCACCTCGCTTCTCCTCCTCCCTTCTCTTTCCTCCTGTCGTCCTCTTCCCATTTCCTCTCACTCTCTTCCCCTCTCCACTTTCCCCCTCTTCCCTTCTCTCTCCCTCTTTCTTCCTCTGTCTCTGTCGTCTTAACCTCCTCTGCTCTTGTCTTCTTTTTTTTAAACCCGCATCATTTCAGAGTCTTTCTTATTCTTGTCATCTTTTGTCCCTGTTCCTTTTGTGTTACATTTCTTCTGCTTTCATCATCCGTCCCCGTCTTTGCCCATATCCATCCATCTGATTCTATCCATCTTTTTTGCTCTCTCTCTCTTTGCTCTCCTTCTCTTTCCCTATTGTGTTTTCTCTCTCTCTTTCCATCCATCTGTCCCTCTCTTTTTTCTCTCTCACTCATTTCTCCATCTCTTCTCTCTCTTTCAACTCTTCCAATCTCTTTATCTCTCTTTTTACCCAACCTCTCTCTTTGTCCTTTTTTTTTCTCTACTTTTCTTCCGTCAGCTTGTTCTCTCTTCTTTCTCTTTTACTCTCTCCCTTTCCTACACGTCTCTCTCTACCCCCTCTTCTTCTCTCTCTCAGTGACGATTACTCACTTGTTCCTTCTCTTTCTCGCCCTCTCTTCTCACCCTCTCCTCGCCCGGATGCCCTCCCAGACCCCACAGCCATGGCGTCCGGCTCGGGGGTGGACCACGCCGTGATCGGGGGCGTGGTGGCCGTGATCGTCTTCATCCTCCTCTGCCTCCTCATCGTCCTCGGCAGATACCTCATCAGACACAAAGGTAACGCACAAATACACACAAATATACACACAAATATACACAAATACACACACACCTCATCAGACACAAAGGTAACGCACAAATACACACAAATATACACACAATATATACACACACACCTCATCGGACACAAAGGTAACGCACAAATACACACAAATATACACACAAATATACACAAATATATACACACACCTCATCAGACACAAAGGTAACGCACAAATACACACAAATATACACACAAATATACACACAAATATACACAAAATATATACACACACCTCATCAGACACAAAGGTAACGCACAAATACACACACAAATACACACAAATATACACACACACCTCATCAGACACAAAGGTAACGCACAAATACACACAAATATACACACACACACCTCATCAGACACAAAGGTAACGCACAAATACACACAAATATACACACAAATATACACACACACCTCATCAGACACAAAGGTAACGCACAAATACACACAAATACACACACAAATATACACAAACATACACACAGCTCATCAGACACAAAGGTAACGCACAAATACACACATAGAGTGTGTCTTATGTATTAATTCTGGTTGTGTTTACTCACCTCAGAATGATTTTATGTGGTTCACGGCGCTCAAAAAACTGAAGACTCAAGCACTTATAGTTTATGCAAATGAGCCATGTGGTTTTAAGTTTAGTTTCTGTAAAATGTAAACAAATGTGCACAAAGCTGAATTAAACACATTATTACTCAACGTATATTTGAGTCGTCCTCATTAGAAATAAACATCCAAACTTAAATGATCCACCCACATTTACATTCATAATCCACATTCACCAAGACAGAGAGGCAACGCCGGGCGAGTTATGCCACGATCTGGTGCGCGGAGTTCTGTGCCCGTCCTTTCGCTCGCACTTATCTGACGGTCTGCATGAGCGCATCTCCGCCGTTTCACTGCTGCTGATATTGCAGTGATTTTTAGCGAATTTGCATGAAGAAAAAATAAAAAAAACACCACTTCATTCCAGGTTAAAAAAGCATTGTAACGCGCTTTACTCACATTTGTAACAAGTAAAATATTACTATTTTTCCCCTGTAATGCCTTACATTACTGCGTTACAGCAAAAAGCAATGGATTACAGTAATTTGTTACTTTAATAACACATTACTCCCAACACTGGCGCCTTATAGTCTGTCTCGTCTGATAAATACGGTATATATTTTTTGTTTTTTATGTAGTACTTTTTATTAGCCCTTGTCCTCTGACCCGTCCTTTCAGGAGCAGTGGGCAGCACATGGGACACCCGGGGCCCATCTCTGTGATCTTGTTTCTGGTCTTGGTCAGGATTTAAGATATGTTTTGGGTTGGTGGTGGAAACTGGACTGCCCGGAGGAAACCCACCCAGACACAGGGAGAACACACAAACTCCACACAGAAATGCCCAGCCACACTATCACACATGGGTACAGTAGCTGAAGAGCCTTGCCCAAGGACACAGTAACAGTGCACACCCTCCTTTTTTTCTAAGATGTGCACTGTTCCAGCTGACCTTTGTTCACGCTCAGCAGGTGGAGCAGTAAATATAAGCCCTCATCTCTGTGCTCATGTTTGAATGCATGAGCCCACAGCCCATCCATATGGACGGAGACTCGAGCCCGACGAGCACGAATAACAATGTGGACAAATGCTAATGCTACATGAAGCCCAAGCTCCACCTGACACAGCACAGATACACAACACAGATACACAACACACATACACAGCACAGATACACAACACACATACACAACACACATACACAACACAGATACACAACACACATACACAACACAGATACACAACACAGATACACAACACAGATACACAACACACATACACAACACACATACACAACACAGAACACATACACAGATACACAACACAGATACACAGCACAGATACACAACACAGATACACAACACAGATACACAACACAGATACACAGCACAGATACACAGCACAGATACACAACACAGATACACAACACACATACACAACACACATACACAACACACATACACAACACACATACACAGCACAGATACACAACACAGATACACAACACAGATACACAACACAGATACACAGCACAGATACACAACACAGATACACAACACAGATACACAACACACATACACAACACAGATACACAGCACAGATACACAACACAGATACACAACACATACACAACACAGATACACAACACAGATACACAGCACAGATACACACACATACACAACACAGATACACAACACAGATACACAACACAGATACACAACACAGATACACAACACAGATACACAACACAGATACACAACACACATACACAACACACATACACATACACAACACATACACAACACAATACACACAACACAGATACACAACACAGATACACAAACACACATACACAACACACAGATACACAACACACATACACAAACACACATACACAACACACAATACACAACACACAACACACACACACATACACAACACATACACAACACAATACACAACACACATACACAACACACATACACACACACACATACACAACACAGATACACAACAACACACATACACAAACACAGATACACAACACACATACACAACACACATACACAACACACATACACAACACACATACACAACACAGATACACAACACACATACACAACACACATACACAACACAGACATACACAACACACATACACAACACAGATACACAACACACATACACAACACACATACACAACACACATACACAACACAGATACACAACACACATACACAACACAGATACACAACACAGATACACAACACAGATACACAACACAGATACACAACACAGATACACAACACACATACACAACACACATACACAACACAGATACACAACACACATACACAACACAGATACACAACACACATACACAACACAGATACACAACACACATACACAACACACATACACAACACAGATACACAACACACATACACAACACAGATACACAACACAGATACACAACACAGATACACAACACACATACACAACACAGATACACAACACAGATACACAACACACATACACAACACAGATACACAACACAGATACACAACACAGATACACAACACAGATACACAACACAGATACACAACACACATACAAGGCTAAAAACAAGGCCATCATACATTTGTAGTTTTGACCAATATAGATTTCCATTTCCATGCAATATTCACTGTGACTATTTTAGTCTAAATGTAAAAATCAAAGTGTGTATTATGAATTCAGACCATTTTACACTACACGTTTCTCTGATTTGGCCCAGATTTTAAAACTTACATCAGGTTATTCATCTTTTTTTTAGATTTATTATCAATTTACTAGTTCTGAGACGCTTCATTCTAGTCTAGAGGCAGTTTATTTTAAGAGAGGGGTCTTTGATGTTTTTCAGGACAGGGTCACTGATGGAGAGCTGGAGCAGGGATCCCCTACTATATATATGGGTCCAGTCAAGTGGTAACGGAGGGAAACGGGCAGATTTTTGACATTCAAATAGTTCTTATTCAGAAACTAGAGGGACTATTGAAATAAGTAAAGTATCAGAATGTAGGAAAGAGTTACACTCCAACAGGGTCAAGTTAAACCTGTGATATTCTTTCAAGTTGTTGACAAAAATTTTTTTAAACTCATGTTGGTAACAGAGGGAATGAAATATGCAGCACTTTTTGGGCAATAAATCCAAACAGTGATAACTCTTGGTTCTCACTTCCATATCCTTAACAAACTGGTTTGAATATTTGCTTCATATAGTTTTCTACCATATGGTACAAGATTAGGTTGAAAAACCTCTTACTTTTTTGAGTCATGAGATTTTTTTATGAAGAAAGGTCATGGTAACGGAGGGAAAAGTAACGGAGGGAAAATTGTGCAAACAAGTAGAAGGTGCAGGATTTTACATCATTTGTCACTTTTTTTCTTCTGAAAACTTTAATATTACTTCAAAATGAAAGGAAACTATTTCTATAAAATATGTCAGTCCTTCCAAGCAAATTTTTATCATTTTAAATTTTTATTTTTTTTTTAAATCATGTACCTTCATCAACAGTTCAAAGATGGAATAACACAAGATATGATGAAATACATCCATTTATTGACATGATTTGCAGGTCTTTGAAATTTGGTAAATAATTTTGTTCCATGTTTCATACATGGTCTGTTTAAAACATATGGAACTTTAGAACCAAAAATGGTACAGAAAAAAGGTCAACAGTTTCATAAACTAGAGTACATATGTATCTGTTCAATACATTTTTATATCAGATGCATTAACTTGAATTTTTAGCCTTGCTGTTTACTTCTGCTTGACCGGGCCCATATGTCATACAATTGTGTTTTATATTGAACTGGGCCTAGTGTTGTGTATAAACAGCTACTCTCTTATTGTTAAGTCGCTTAACAAGTCCAGGCTTATCCTGTCATCCTGAGCTGAAACTAGCCTAACCCGAACCCTAAACCTTAACCTGAGTCTGACCAAAGCTCATTCAGGCCTGACCTTTAAACTACGCTTTGTGCGCTTGCTGTGACTTTGAGAAGGTGAAAGCCATGGAGCAATGACATCAAGGAAAATGGGCTCAAAGTGTGACTTTTCTTTAATGATCTGATTAAACAAAAGAGGAACCACTCAAACCCCCAAACTCCTTCTGTGGGAGCCACCTTGTGCAAAATCCGACAAGTGTGTTAAAAGTGGTGATATAGTCAAATACAGTGTCACAGGCATGACATTTGGAACAAAGAATCCTGACATGATGAGGAATACAACACCACAGTATTACAGGGCTTTATGCGTCTCTGTTTACAATTATTAGACCATTTATAGAAGAAATATATTTTTTTTTTAAAAATGCATTCTCAAGGACAAAACCTCTCCACAAACAAATGATCGTGACAC